GGCGGGGGCGAGCAGCCCCAGGCTCGGCACCCGCTCCCCAAGGGCAGTACCGGGATTTTCGGGGGCTCTCGGCCCGGGCACCGCCGTGCCCCTCCCCCGGCCGTGCCCAGCCCCTGCCCGGAGCCCCCTCCTAACCCGAGCGCGACCCCGCGGCCGGGCCGCGGGGGAGACGGCAGGAATAACAAGGCCGAATAACAAAGGGCGGGGTTCGCCGCGGACGCGCTGTCCCCGCGCCGCTTCCCACAAACCGCCCGGGGCATCTGGCCGCGCAGACCGCCTGTCCCCGTGGTGGCAGAGGAGGGGCAGGGAGAAGGCGAAGGGGCTGCGGCCTCACCCGCCGGACTCGGGCTCCCGCTCGTGCTGCGTGACTCGCGCCTCCTCGCCGCCTTCCCACGCTGCTCTGCTGCCCACCCCACCCTCGAGCGGCGCTCCCTTCCAGGCAGGGGGAGTGAATGGTTCTTTCCTGCCATCGGCCCCTCAGGTGTCCCCCTCTGTTCCAAAGTAGAACTTTCAGATTGGGTGTGATCGGTAGGTTATTTTCAAGGCCTGGGAACATGACCGGTAACATACATAGAAATGTCCGTACAATGCCAGGCCCACAAAATAGGCGGGCAGATAGAACCCGCTCATTTTGGACAGCAGGGTAACCTTGCTCAGGAAGCCGGGCCTGCAGCCCTGGGCAGTGGCCCCTGCTCCAGGGTGAGGGGTAGTGGAGGTTGGGGAAGGGGGGTTCATGTTGACTGTGTCTGCCTGTTAGACACAATATTCTGGGCAGAGCCCGGGCAGGAGCTCTGACTTGGCTTCTCACACGGGGCTTTTGGGTCAAGTTCTCTGCTTGTTTGAACCTCTTTTTTCCTGTGGAAAATGGGGGGCTTGAATGAGATGCTGCACCGATCCCTTTCAGGTCTCATCGGTTGTGACTGCTCTACTACAAGAGGAGGTTCAGGATGCTGGGAGGTGTCTCTGGAGGGGCCAGCGGGCTGAATCCGAGACTGACCACACTTCCTTTGCAGGTTGAAGCTGACACTGACAGAATGTGGCCAGGATCTCACGACTCCAAGGCTGCCTCTTGGACATACTCTTTTGCTCCAGACAAGCTTACAATGTGCCAACGTATAAAGCCACCGTATACAAAGTTCACTCACTGCACGTGTCCAGCACATCCTCTCCCTTAAGCCATGCCAGAATCATGCCGTAAACATGCGTGCACAATGACATAACTGAACACGAGGACTTACGTCTCTAGGGGCCTCGGGCCAGGCCCAGCAAGGAGAGGTACCACTCTGACTGGCAGCCACTGCAGCACGAGTTTGACCCCCAGCCAGGGCTGACCCACAGAACGCAGCAGACCTCTCCTGTCTCCTCGCTGCCCCCTCAGCAGTGTATTTCAGTGGACCTGCCTGTTCTGCTCCCCACTTTGTCTCTGGTGAGTTCTCTCACCCCCTGCAACTCTGGTCTGTACCAGAGTTCTTGTATGCATAAACAAATAAATCTTAAAAAATAAAAAAAAATTAGGTCCAATCCAGCCAGTCCTCTCTCCCAAGAGAATGAGAGCACATTTCCCACAAAACAGACATGTATTTTCATGGCAGTTCTATTTTTTTTAGTAGTTTTTTTTATAATAGTTTATTTTTACATATTTTTGTGTATTTTTCCATCTCAGTTGCAATCCCCTTGGGTTTCCCATCACCAGATCACCTGTGTGCCCTCACCATAGTCCAGTGTATTTCCCTCCTCCCACTGTTTTTGATCCCATTCCTCACCCCACCCCACAAAATGTCTCTGGTATAGAGCTGTTCATCATTATCATTATTTTCTTGCATGACAGTTCTATCTTAATGATTTCAGAACTAACAAACATCTATCAGAGAATATTAAACATAAATTGTGGCATATTCACATAAAGGAATACCATAGAGAAACAAATTTTAAGCCTCTTTACTAGATGCAAATTGAGTGCAGAAACCAGCCTCAAAAGGCCACATATCATATGATTCCATTCATTCAACTTCCACAAAAAGTGGGTTAATCTACAGTGACAGAGAAAACAGTGGTCACCTCTGGGAGATGGAAACTAACTAGGAAGGGGTACAGGGTGCTTTCTGGGCGCTGAAACACGCTCCATCTTGAGCTCAGTGGTGGTTTAAAGAGTGCACAAGTGCAGAAGTCAACCTAAGGTCTGTGCTTGATGAGAGTAACATCAGCCCCCCGCCCCCTACCCTCCAGTCTACCCCCAGCTCTAGCATGCATCAATCAATACACCAACTGTAATAAGTAAATCAAAAAAGTCACCGCATCAGACCACCCTAGCTAAAGACCCACAACCCTCCCGCTCCCCACCACTATCCTATCACCCACCTTAATTTTTTCTTTCTATGAATGTTTTTGTCTACTTGTCTTTCCCTACGTCAAGCATCAGTTTTAAGGAAGCAACAGCTTCGTCTGGCACATTCACTGCTGAAGCCGTGTGCGTTGTCACTCGGTGAAGGACTATTCCAAATGAGTTGGGATAGACTTCTTCCTATTCCCGTTGATTTTTGAACTAATGTAAATAATTTCAACTTGAAAGATACAAATTGCCTACTCAGAGTTGCCCCATGTAGTGCCCGCAGGCACAGGACGGGTTCTCCGTGGATCTGGGCAGAGGGAAAGGAGAGTCCTGGAGAGTTCCGTGGTCGTTTCAGGCTTTAACGCGCTCTCTACACCAACTGTCGTGCGGCCGTCGTCTGGCCAGTCCTCCGCTGGCAAGGCAGCGAGCCCAAGGGGCCGCCCTGCCCCCAGCAATTCTTTACTCTCCCTTCGGGCTTTCTCCAGAGTTCTGGCTCGTCTCTCTTCGAAGCTTTTGTTGTCCTCTGGCAGTTCTGTGGTAGCTGTCCTTGTCCGAGGTATGTACCCCTGGCCTCCAGGCGCAGGGGTGCTCACCCACACATGCCCACACAGTGCCCACGCCCATACCCCCAGCGCCACCTGCAGTCAAGCCTGCTGGGCAGAGCCACAGACCGGGCGCCATCAAGTCTGGGCACGACACCTAGACTGGACTCAGCCCTTCCCTGCTAAGGGCTCACATGGGGTGCGAAGTGAATGGCCGGGGCGGGCGGGTGGGGACTTTGTAGTGAAGGCTGACATGGCTGCAGCATTGGTCTGACTCGGACTTAGACACGTTCTGATCACTTTATATTGACTAAGCACTAACCTAGAGCTGATGCGGACAGAGGCAGCGGTTGGCTGAGCGAATTGGTATAATCAGGCAACTCACAAGGCAAAACTAGATCTGAACCCAAGCAATTTAGATCCAAAGCCCTTATTCTTTATAAATGCATTTGAAGGCTCTAGTTCTGAGTTTTAACAAATGTATACACCCATGCAGACACCCTGTCGGGTATAGAAGTTAAAAACCAGGATTTTTGATGCCCTGGCGCCTGGGGAGCGGAGGCCCAGGGGCCTGGGCAGGGCTGTACCTGCAATTATAGAGGGGGGCCAGCTGGGTGTGTGTGTGTGTGTAAATGCTCACACCTGTGCCTAGAGGCGTGGGCTAAAGGCAGAGGTGGCAGCACAGTGAGGAGCCCAGGGAGCCGTCCCCAGAGGCGCGCTGAGGAGAGAGCTGGCCTGTCCCTGATTCAGTATTAAAGGCCTATAAAAATCTACCAGAGGCTCCAAAATTATCTTTCCATCTGCAAGAACTGACGATGAGCCTACCTGGTCGGGGCTGGTTCCTTTGTGACCAGCCAGGGAAAGGGGCACCCCAGGATCCCCAAAGCTGGCCGTTTTAAATAGGTTCTGCCATCTGCCGCATGGAGACAAAACATGAGACCGTTAATGGAAACTTTAACACAATTAGCGTGCAACAGAGGAGATGGGAAATAGACAAAGCGGAGCCTCCCTGCTGGCACAGGGGTTAAAGCGCAGCACTGTGGCGCTGGCCGCTAGGGCGCGGCCAGGGAGGGACCCCCAGGGCGCAGACCCCTCCTGTCTCCCCACTGCCCCCTCAGCAGTGCACATCATTAAACTGCCTGCTCTGCTCCCCACTGTCTCTGGTGAATCCTCTCACCCCACATCCCTGCACCTCTGGCCTGCGCCCGTTTTTGTATGCAAAAATGAATCTCTCAAAAAAAACCAAAGGGGCAGAAATGGCCAGAAAGTCTGGAAGGAAAAGAGCAAAATCAAACCTGGCAGAGACCAGTTCTGGTGAACAGGGTTGAGAGAGGATCCCAGAAGAACCTTGAAATGAGGCCAGACACGAAGTAGTTTACGATGCGGGACCCCAGGCCGCGGGCTCCCCATTCCGAGCTCAAGGGCCCCAGCGCCCATGCCGCTCAGTTCTGAGAAAGCCGCCGCCCCTTGAGGTTGCCGGGCAGTGATTTATTCTGTCGCCCGCATGAACCGGCACACGTTGGCCAAGGCTGTGCATTATCAAGTTGTTTTTTTCCCACACCTGTTTCTCCTCTTTGCTGATTCCAGGAAGGACATCACGTCTGGACGCGGGCCAGCCTGCCAGGCCATGCTGACCAGTCTCCGGTCACAGCCGTGAGACTCTCCCGGCTTCAGCACTTTCCGCCTTGGGGGTCCTCCAACACAAAATCAAGGTGAAGGCTGCACTGCTCACCCCCCAGGAGGCCTTCACCCACACCGTGGGGTCTCCTCCCATGTCCCCCGGCCCCTGGTTCGAGCCCGTGGCCGAGAAGGAACCAGCTTCCTCACGGCTCTGCTCCGCGCCTGCTCCAGCTGCTCGCGCTCCCGTTCTGCCTTCCTTCTCTCAGCCTCCTCTCCAGCTCTCCTGCTCCCTGCTCAGCACCCCTGGAGTCTGGAACCTCCCTGTCCCTGGGGAACCCGTTAGGGAGGAAAGTAGCTCCTCCTTTGCCCCCAAAAGTTCCTTTGTGCCCCTCTGCAGCCAGCCTCCCTGTCCTGGGCCGCCACCGCTCTGGCTCCAGAGCTGCGCGCCGTAGTCAGACAGTGCATACACAGCTCACTGGTCTCGCAGCTTCCCACGCGGCTGCCCAGCACGGTGTCGCACTGTGGAAATGGACACTCCGGCTCCAGGCGCCACTTCCGTTCCGCCACTGCCACCACCCACCTCCAGCACACGAGGTAGCCAGACTGAGGGGGCGGATGGGCGAAGAGCACTGCCGCAGGACCGCGCAGTCCAGACAGCAGAATCCCTATCCTCAAGGCACCGCTAGTCCCCTCAGACATCTCGAATCCAGAAAGCTAGTGAATAGCAAGCCAAAACATTCACCTGGGTCCAACAGGTATTTAAGTGAACACAGCACAGCGCGGCTAAGCCGGTGACCGCGCCCCACAGGCCTTGGTTCACCTACTGCGTCCATCGGTCAAGCCATTGCCTGCCGGTTTCCCTGGCCTTGGAATGGGCAGTCGTGGCAGAATCCACCTTAGAGGTCGGGAGGGTCAACGGAGACAGCGCCCGGGAAATGGTGCGCAGTGCCTGGCACACAGCAAGAGCTCGGCGCTGTCACTGTGACCACTGGTATGTACCAGGCACCTTTAACGCTGTGGGAGATGTAACAGAACAAGCTCAGGGATTCAGTTCGGTGCAGACACACATGAATCGGGAGCCATGAACTTTCTACAACTTTTGCTTCAGGGTATTAGATATGTACCTGCACATGCTTTCGGGCGGGTGGAGTCCACGGTTTCTGTCATATCCTTAAGTCGCAAGTAATGGCCCAGCAGACAGTGAGGACCCAGGGCCTATGGCATGGACTCTGGGGTGGGGGGGAGCTCATCCCACAGCCTCCCCTCCCCGGCCAAAGGGATCAAACAGGGTGTCTGTGTGTAGGAGGGAGGACCGCCAGGAAACTGCTCCACGGGGGAGTGAACCCAAACGGTGTCAGTCCCCACCCACACGTGTGGCAGCACCAGCTCCATGCCGAGCACTGCGGACGGTCTGAGGAGCGCAGGGCAGAGGGCTCGGCGGAGGCTGTGGGCAGAAAGCTGGGGCAGGAGCGTCACAAGACCAGAACGGGTGGGGTGGGCGTGATGAACACAGTGGTGAAACAGGTCCAGAGAAGTGACGTATCCAGGGGCGCGGGCCAGGTGGGGACATGGACGTGGAGGCCACTGTAAAAATGTCCCCTCTCCTTTCACGTGGACTTGGTCACGCCAAATACAGAAAATCCTTAGGCCAACCCTGGAAACGGCTGACGAGCGGTCACACAGGAGCAGCCCCCCCCCCCCCCCCCGCAGCCTCACCTGCGCTCTGCAGACTACACAGGTGCCTCTCTCCCGCCTCCCTCCCAGGCTGCCCCAGGCCGCAGGCGTCTCCACAGACCAGCGGCTCCTCGGGGCCTGTCTGTGCCAGTGTCCTCCCCGTCCTTTCCCTTTGACAATAAGCCGGCCCTTTGGATATAACTAGACGTCCACCCCACAGGGACTCGCCGTGTGCGGCTGAAAGGGGACCTCTGATGCCACTTTTCCCAGAGGTCACCCAAGGACTGCACGCTCTGTACCCAAGACCTCTGCAAACTGACATCTGAGAATTTGGGGCGGTTAAACTTAGTGACTAGAGGCGAACTGTTGAATGAATGAAAGCTCAGCCTGAGGATGAAGGCCTAAGAAAACAGTGTTTCCAAAGAGAGAAGGAAGGAATCCAGCAAAGTCACTAATTTACTCTGTGCTGCTGTGAGCCCGATACCAGGTAACAGCCAAAGTACCACACAGGAGCTTAAAGGAGAAAGTGAGCTGGAAATCGGGATCATCAGCATCATGGCGATAATCCTTGTCTTCAAGAAGGGTCCATTTAAAAGGTGGGCGCATTAGATGAAGACACAGCTGCATCCCCAGGCTGAGGCTGCTCGGCGTGACCTCCAGGCGCCTGGAGCCCACTGGGGAACCAGTCAAAGCAGCTTCACAGCAGCTGCTGGACACGCCACCAGCCCACCCATGGCAATCCGGAGCCGCCTCCTCTGTGGCTCTCAGCGAGCACCTCCCCCAGGTCGGCCGAGCACTCTCATAACCAGACTGCTACTCTCCCGCCCGTGCGCCTCACAGCTCACCTCCATGCGCCTCACAGCTCACCTCCGTCAGCAACCCCAAACTGAGCTATTCCGCCCAACAACCTTCCTCCTGCACACTGGACCCTCTGTTCACTAAGTGCAGCCTGACGGCCCTTGAAGTCCCACCCCCCCCACCCCTGTTCTCATTTAGGGCTCCTGGATCATAACTAATAATTCACCAGATGCTTGTTACCGAGCCCCATCTTCCTCTCCCTCGGATCTACTCTACTTTGCTTTGGAGATGCAATCCTATCCCTCCCTTGTCAAATCCCACCACAGAAACGTCCCAACCAGGATCCCTTGCCAGGTGCTACATGGCTCGGCTCTGGGTGGAGTCCCGGGCAGCTAGAACCCCAAGCCAACAGCCTGCAGCCCAGAGTAGCCGCCTCCCTTTGCCTCCCAGTGCCGCTTCAAGGGCTCCACACTGAGTGAGGGAAAGGGCTGAGCCCTGACCTGCGGGGCTGCCCACCTGGCGCTGACCTCATTCTGCTTCCCACAGCCACTGCTCCATGCCTTACAGGGTGCCATTCATCCATCTCTGAAGCTACTCAGAAACTTCCCGTCTACTTCAGATGAGCTTCCTCTTCTTTGCCTGGAAGCTTCTACCTTCTTTTAAAATAACACTGGGTTTGATATAAGCCCACAAGTATATGGACATCTAATTTTTGACAAAGGAGCAAAGATACAATGGAACAAAGAAAATTTGTTCAGCAAGTGGTGCTGGGAATACTGGGAAGCTACATGCAAAAAAATGAAACTAGATCACTGCCTCACTCCAGTCACAAAAATCAACTCGAAGTGGATTAAAGAC